TCTTGTATGTAGTAAAAAGGATTTGTCAATGGACGATGCACATATTTATATGCGTAATAGTTGAGAGTAAATATGAAATGCTATTAAATTAGATGAAATTATTCGTTGTTCTCCAAACAATGATTATGTTAAACGTTTGCTTTTTCTTTGGTTTTTTTTACCTTTGTTGTAGAAAGAAATAGCAGAGAATTTCGCATACATACCTTATTAATAATTCAAATATTATTTACTCCTCTTATATTCATTCAAATCTTGCTTTGATCAATTCATAGATTTATGCAAGTATGATCTAGCTCGATATTATAAAAATAGAACATTGGAGTAGATGAGGATTTTTAGCAGTCTCTATGAAATGCAGAAGATAAAAATGCATTTTTTAAGTAGCTACAAAAATTTTTATTAATATTCGAGGGAATCTATTTGATTATTTTTTTAAAATATGTTTGCTCTTAAGTATTGTTCTTTCAGCGTATTTGCAATAGTTTTTGTCAGCCGTTAAGAAGAAAAGAGATAAACGATTTTTGGACTTTCAAAACAAGTAGACTTTTCTACTTGTACTCTGAATTGATAACATTTAGTAAACACGTACTCTAAGATATTCGCAGTAGATTTAGAGGCCTACTCTATATATTTAATCTATAAATGAAAAAGTTCCTCGTACCTTCTCGATGTAGGGATGTATCTACCTTTTTTTAAACATATGACATAATGGGCACATAACTTGAGTCAAACATCGATTAGCGAATGATTTATACTCTGAAGTTCCACTGTAATATGATAATCTCTCAGATTTCGTGTCATTAAATCGTTATATGCTAATTAGTCGTCAAATCTAACTGACTTCACTCATAGCTTGTTCTAATTAGTTGTCATATTTCGTGTGTGGCCAAATTTTTTCTAAATGAGGATTAGAATGGTCTGATTTTAATTTTATTTTTGTAACACTTCAATATAACAGAGTTGAACTGATGTTATCATATTATAATTTTGAATATGTTAGACATATGTTATTACACTTTTGTAGAATAGCATATTATCTACATACAATATAAAAATAGATAAATGATTTTCGAAGTCAGTATATCATAGATCGAACCAATCTGTATTACATATCATATTACTATTATTGGTAGCTTTTTTTTGAAATAATATATCTACTGTTGATAGTAATATTACATTGAATTACATACTTTGTTTCTTATAGTTAAGATATTATTTTCACTTTTCTATTATATTTTAGAAATCAATCGAATTTGTTCTTTGAGGACAATGAGTAACGTGGAAACTGTCAATGACATTAAAAGACGTCGCTTGGAATTAATGAAACAACTTGATACGTTGGTGAAAACAAGACAACAAAGAAACACATATATTTCTAAACAATTAAACAAGAGTATTAATAAATTAGAGAGAGAAATTCATGATATGACTATTAAACATCGTGAGGCAATCAAGAAATGTTATTCAGGATCACTAAAAGCACAAAAATGAACTGTTTTTATTTTTTAATGAAAGACATTCATTGATTACTATTTAACCAATTTCTACTGAATCCTTGTTGTAAATATGATATCTAAATCGATACACTATGTATAATAAAGAACATTTTTCACTTATACAATCTTAATTATATGATTGTTCGCATATAGTTCAAGAAGGAAACAGTTGAAATCATTTTTTTTTGATTTTTTTAAAAACTTTCTTTGATTGAAATCTAACGTTTTTGATTAAATTCAATTTACTAAACCAGTTATATTTGGATATTCACGCTATTTATTATTTTGTTTCTAGCACAACCTAGGTGAGCTGTGCATGAGTTAAATGAGTTTTTATAATTATAAGTTTAATATTACGTGTATCACAATACTTTACAGTAACGTTTTCTGAATCATATTTGGTATTAGTGTGGTTGCTTTATCAGTTTTCACTGAGCTCTCAAATACGTCTAAAAACTAGTTAAGCGAAACAAAATATTATTTCATGCTCCACATCAACTTGTGTCTGTAATATTGATTATGAGAGTAAGAATGAAACCATTCAATTCACTATCCTAGTGGAAGTACCCATCCAGCGAGCACTTAACAGTAGTACTCGTGCTAGAATCTGAGTATCTGAGTACGACAATCGAGCACTCGCCTTGTGAAATTGAGTGTTTCACGAGTACTCATGATACAGTTTTTGTGTACTCTAGTGGTTTTTTTTTTGTAAAATACTCGTGGACCTGTATTCTGTTCAGTATTGTTGTACTATATCCGTTTTTTTTATTGAAAAATTAATAATAGAACACAGACATACACTGCGAAAATTTGAGAACTGGAGATGTTAAATTATGTTTATATTTTTATAGAGAATATAGGCATAAACTTTTCATATTCAGAAAATAAAGAAATAGTGAATAAAAACACGTATTGAGAACAGTACAACGTCAGTAAAGAGAAATGAGCATTAAGCTATTCATGAAATTAACCATTTCAGAAGGGACTTTTTTATTTTTATAAAAGAAATAAAGCTTACATGTCAGAATTGATTATCATTTAAAAAAGTATTAGCTATCATAATTGTTCTTACTTCACAAACACAAAAAGAAGATGGCGAGATACGGAGACAAACAAAACATTCGAAGAATGTATTTTAATCCGTCCAATGACTTTCGCTTCTACGAAAATTTTCCAACCATATATATATATATATATATATACGGGCTTGGTCCTCAAAGGATTAAGATACCTGATAACAATATACGGATAGTATAGATCATTACAAAAAAACAAACGGACATTTTAAACTGATAACTAGATTTTATTTAGTAATGTATAAAAAAGCTTGTTAGCGCAGCTCCTTTGAAGCTGCAATGTGGAACTCACATATATCCTTAAACCTGAATATTCTAATGCATCATATGTAAACTGAAAAATTTCGTATACAGTGTAGTTGTTTCCATTGATATCAACGATAAGAGCGAGACTTTGTTATATATGTCTACATTTAAAGCAGAAATCTTTTTTGTTTGAAAGTGCCCTATTTTTCTTTTGTATTGTTACTATCCGCTCATTATCTTTCATTTTTTTAATTTTAAATCGTTTTTCGTAACTCAACATTCTTATTGTAATAATCATTGAATTAATTGGCAAATAAATCTATTTTACATATCCATGATATCTACGAAAGATCTTACACACTATTATATATATTAATCAGCTCACAAACAATGACGTTGATCATCTTTCAAAATTATAGGTTGATCAATTTTTTGAAAAAAGCTAGAAAGTCTGACGCCTGTTATTCTTAATTGCTAAGGTCTGTAATGGAGGCGGTGGGGGAGGGGAGCCGCCAAACCTTCTGCTTGCAACTTACACTCACTATTTTCTTCGAAAATATATGTGAGTTTCATAAAAAATTAATTAACTGTCTTTAGTATGATGCACTTGTCTTCAGAATATTGTATAACTGCTGCAAAATACATTAGAACTTTTTTCCAAATTTGCGTGTAATTCAGGAGGCACATTTGATAAAGAGAGTTTTATTTTCAAATAAATTTTCCATTTTCTCACTAGAGAAAATGGTATAAAAACAAAACTATCATTTTTCTTTCGCTAATGAAGATGTCGATAAACAGAGATGCTTTGTAGGTCACAACCTTTGATGCAAATAGAGTAAAATCAATCACTTAATTGTTATCTAATAATTTCTTCATTTTTGAAGCATAATTTTCACTTCTCATTTTTCGGTTGTAACTTTAATTTGGATAATATATTTTCATAAGATCATTGGAAATGAGTTTATTTTTAACTTTTTAGTTATTTATAGAATAACTTCGGCACAATATATAGATAGATAACGTTGATTTCTTTGACAAGATAAATGTACTTAGAATAGAGAAAGAGACAGTAGATTCGAGAACTCATCATAAAAAAACCTGATAATGTAATATCCTAAACCAAAGACATTTTGCATGGGTCATAATAAATAGTCTTTGAACATGTATTCGCGAATATGCATTCTCTTTCTCTATTCCAAGTTCATATACCTTGACAAAGAAATCAACGTTATCTATGTATGTAATAGTTTGCTTTTCTATTGTTGTTACTGTTTCCTGATGATGGTAAAAGTATACATCGCAAACTCAAAATAAATAGCTTTACATTTTGTCACAGTACTGTACGCAATTATACATTCATTAATTTCTATTGTTCTTTCTGACAGTTCTATGATCTGACAGTTATTTGCTATGTTATTTCTGAGAAATATTTTGGCTTTCAATATGGTAACATTTACAGAGAATAATATCGAATCATCTATCCATTCGAAGGTAATAATAAAGCACTTGAATTTATCATATGACAGTTGAAAACCAATCAAACAATTCAGGCTGGCAAAAACTCAACTTTTATCCACTTGACTCCATCTATTATTCAAATTCTCTATAATATTAAAACAACTTTTCTTATGTTTATATTCACTTTGAGATACGAGTAAAATTCTAAAATCTTGAAATTCTAATGACAAAAGATATTGATTCATATATCTAAGCCATGAAACTGCTCAAGTTTATTATTATTATTTGTAATGAAACGAAAAGATAAGCACAAGAAAAAAAAAGAAACAAATGAATAAGATTAAATAGAACGGCAAAACACAAAGCAAAAGCAATTCCAACGAAAAACTCTTGGAGCATATTAATCATCCTACATATTTCTTAATCACCTCAACAATTTGTATCGACCCTCACACATTATATTAAACAAGTTGAAAGAAAATCGTCGAGTTGAGAAAAAAAGAGAAGAAATCCATCCGTGGTTCGTCAATCTTCATGTTTTTCTTCTTCTTTTTATTGTGTCTCGTCGATTTCTTAATTATTGTTTTTTTTTCTTCATCTGTTGATATTGAACATGAGAGAATGAAACAATTGAATGAAATGAGAAAAAGTGAGGTTTAACGGGTTAACAAGAAAAAAAGCCAAAAATCAAAGAATAAAAAGATAAAATATTTCTGTGCTTCATCTATCGTTTTGATAGTTCAATAATTGTATCCTGCTGTATTTCAGTCTGTGCGCGACATCGTTGTCGAAAATCATGTGCAAATCTTCGAAGTTTTTCAGTTAAAAATACTGCACTTTCACGACGATTTGTTGCTCCACTTGCTAATGAAAGCCATTTATGATCAATACATGCCGGAATAGTTAATCGATTTCTAAATAATAACAAAAAAAAAAATTATGTAAATATCAAATAAATAAAAGTTGCTAGCACAATTTTTGTGGGATTAAAATGTGAAACACGATGTAGCTGCTGTCATTAAACATAAGGAGATTAATTTATTCTATCTATTTTGGAACATATTTCTTCATTATCCTTTTACTTAATCCTGCAGTAATTCCATAGACGATAGAATCACAGAACTTGCGTGGACTTAAACCTATCCTAGGTTCATGCTTCATAAGCTAGAATAGAGTCAAACGTCTTTCTTCTTCCATCAGATTCGATAGATTTGAGCAGTGCATCACATCTGTTACAAGAACGCATACAACGAATTCGAACTACAGTCCGGAGCTCAGATCGAACAGTTTAGATTGAGATATTTTCAGACATTATTAACTTTTTTCTGAAAGTTTGGTGCCTTTCGGTTTTTGAGTCATTTATTTCATTGTTTGTCGATTTATCATAGCCAATGTTCAAGCCTTTCTTTCGTTTTATTTTCACTCCCTGGTTTTATTAATTAACTGAAAATGACAGCATTTCAACTCCAAACTCGAACTTTGGTGTTCGGTATGTGTCTAATCATAAGTGAAGAAGGACTGTATGGAAAGTTTGAACCAGATGAACTAGAATATATTTAAATTTTTCTTCGTCTTTGACGACTAAAATTACATGCCTATTAAATATTTTCAACAATGGACGCAGTCACAATCTTAATGTACTTTTTTATACGAGTTGCAAAAATTTTTTTCTAAACTGCATCATTGTTGTATGTTTCAAAATTTACGCTCATATTTAACTTTCAGATGCGAATCTTATAAACAATTTTGAGCCTAGTCTAGAATCAAAACGTTTCGCCACCTATAAGTAGTTCATATATTATAACGAGACATTATGGATATACAGTCTGTCATGATCTCTAGGGAGAGCAAGAATGAATATAAATTTCTATCCCTTATAGTTCAACACTTTTTCATAGATCATATTTTTATAAAATTTATATTTACTGGGGTGATTTTTTAAGACATTGTTGAACAAAAATAACAGCTTCTTGTGTAACATCATCATAAAATTCATTTGTATTCCATCGTACAAAACTAACATTTTGACTTGTTTCTTCAATATTTTCACCAGCAAATGGTGAAAATCCACTTAAACTAAATAAAAATTTTACTAATATTTATTTTTATTTTTAATTAATTTAATTCTTACAGAGTAGCAGTTAATGCTCCAATACTCCAAACATCAGCTTGAACACCACATGATTCATCATTAAGTACTTCAGGTGCTAAAACAAATATAAAGTATTTTTGTTTTTTTATAATTAATTTCTTTCAAAAACAAAAAAAAAACACCAAATCTCATACCTGAATATTCTATATTTGGTTGTGAATTATTCTTATTAATATTATGTCCTTCAACAGTTGCTATTTGCTGTGCACAACTAAAATCTGTTAATTTAATATGTACAGCTAGACGATTTTCATTAACAACACTTGATGGATTTATATTTAAATGTATAATACCATGAAAATGTAAATAATGTATAGCATCAAATAATTGTCGTAAAATTTTAACAATTAATTCTTCATTATATTTATGTCTTAAACAAATCCAATCACATAATTCGATATAATCATTTGTAACTAATATAAATGAATTTTTCCATAAAAATGCATCTAACATTGTTGTTATATGTTCATGTGATATAAGATTTAATAAATGAAATTCTTCAGTTTCCTTATCTTGTTTATCAACAATTTTAACTATACGTATACTATCTGTTGCACGTTCTGAACAACGTATTATACATTTACGACCATAACTACTTATTTCATCAATTAATTTATATAAATCCCATGGATTTTGATCACGTTTTAAAACAGTTTTTTCACCTAATGATTTCATTTTATCTTGTTTATCATAATCTTGTAAAATATGTTCAATTGTTATTGGAGATTTTTCATCTAAACGATGTTGATGTTCAAGTAAACGATATGTTGATTGTCGATCAATTTTTGTTAATAAAATTTTATTTTCTGCATCTTCATCAAGTGTACGAACTTCTTCTGATGCCCATGAATATGCTGATATACCCATACGATTAATACATGATACACGAAAACGATAATGTGTTGATGGTTTTAAATCATGTATTAATGCTGATTCTTCAATTGTAAATGTTGATTGTGTCCATTTAAGATCTTCACGTGCTTTATAATCAACACGAAAACCATTTATTTCATTATTACCATCATATAATGGTGAACTCCATACAAGATAAGCGTCTGTTGCAGATATATCAATTACAATTGGACGTTGTGGACGATCAGGTACATCTTGAAAAATAAAAATAAAAATGAAAATTTATTTATTTATTTATTTTATTGAATAAATTTTTACCTCCAATTAATAATCGTGCTTTACATGAAGCATCACCATATAGATTTCTAGCAACACAACGATAAATACCAATATCACTTGCTTTACAATGTGTTATTGTTAATGTACATAGACCATCTTCACCTTGAGCAAATTGTATTCGATCATCTTCAATTATAAATTCATCATTTCGATACCAAAATATACGTGGAAATGGATTTCCTTGAAGTTTACATCTTAATATAACAGTACCACCAATTAAAAATGATGTATCAACTAATTTCTCTTTAAATACAGCAGCAAAACCTACAACAAGATAGAATTATTTATAGATATTGTTTTGTTTTGCTTAAAATAATCTCAACAAACCTTCTCCTCTAGTTGCACGTTGTTCTTGTGTAAAACCTTGTGCTTGAAATTCTCGTGGAATACTTGGTGCATGTGCTGTACCACCAGGAAATGGTGATAAACGTGATGTACTTGAATATTTTGCTGTTAAACCATAACCATGTGCTGGTGATTCACTTGTTCGTCCATATGGTGCATAAAATGATGGTGTTGTAGATATTCCTCTTGTACCACTTGGTTGTGCACTGGATTCACGTGGCAAAGAACAACCACTATGAGGTACAGCTGAACATCCTCGACGTCGTCGTCCTTGAGCATCAACATGAAGACGTTCTTTAACTGTATCACGAGCAAGAAGACGTTCAACGGGTGCAACTGGTGGTGCATAAAGATATTCTGATGAAGCATAACGATTTTTATAACTTGTTCGACGATAACTACGCATACGAATAGCAAAATCAACATCAGCCATTGGAAGTAGATAAGAACCAGGTGTTAAATTTTCATCATCAGCTGATGATGGTCGACGACGAAGCGTATATTCATGTTCATCAAATGATACTTCTAAATCGCATTAGAAAAAAAAAATAAACAAACAAAATAAAATTCCATTATTCTTTATAGATAATTAATATTTTTCTTAAACTAACCTCTTGATGTTCGTCGAGCTCTTGCTCGAATATGTCTATCATCATATATTGTTTCTCGTTCATCACCATAACCAGTATCACCTTTCATTGAATTTATTTCACTTATTGTTGGTAATGGTCTTGTTGATGTACGTCGATGTTCACGCTAAAGAAATAAAATTATTTAAATAATAAAATCTATATTAAATATTTACATCATAAAGTTGTCGTGAAAAAGCTCCTTGTAAACGATCAGATGAAATTGGTGTTGTATCAACATGTTGTAATACAAATTTAAGCCATGGATGATTTAATGCTTGTTCAGATGTTAAACGATTTTGTTGATCAGGTATAAGTAAACGTGAAATAAAATCTTTAGCATCAGGTGATATATTTGCAAAACGATCATCAAATGTCCATTGTCCATTACGAATATTTTGTAATGTTTCAAAATCATTTGAACCAGTAAATGGTGTTCGACCACTAAGTAATAAATAAGTAAGAACACCACTAAACAACAACAAAACATAACATCAATTTTTTTTGTTTGTTCGAAATATAAATAAAAACTTACACGTTCCACATATCCGTATTAAGTGATATTGGATTACGATGAATAATTTCTGGTGCAACATATTCTGGTGTACCATAATCAGAATAAACATTTGATGCACCTGTTAAATGACGTGCATTTGTAAAACCTAATAATTGTACACGTATTGGATCATGACGATCATCAATATAAACATTATCCGGCTAATATATAAATGATAAATTAAAATAAAATTTTAATTTCAAAAATCTCTAAAACAAAAAACTTACTTTGATATCAAGATGAGCAATATTTCTGGAATGCAAATGTTTAAGTGTATCAACAAGATTACGTATTATTAAAGCTGCATCACGTTCAGTATATGTTCGACGATTTAATAAATTTTCAAGAAGATCATTTCCATGAACACTAAAAAAAAAATTAGAAATTAAATTTTTTAAATAAAAACAAACAAACAAACATACTTATCAAGTACAATAGCAAGCATTTTATCTGTTTCATAAGCGTCATGTAAATGTGGAATACTTGGATCATGTAAATGTGATAAAATATCCATTTCACGTCTAAGCCAATCAAAATATTTTGGATTATGAACAACTTTAGCAATACGCTCTTTAGCTGTTCTACGTTCAATAACTCGATATATAGATGATATTGGTCCACTAAAATAATATGAATTTTTTTTTAAATAAATAAATTTTTTTTTTATCCTCTTACTGTTCAATTCTTTCAAGTATATCATAATCTTCATCAAATCTTTTCTTTTTAAATGTCAATATTGGTCTTTCTAAATCTGGTCTTGGAATACTTAAAAGATTATCTTCAACAGTTACATTTGCTGATGATAATGTTGCACCAGCTATATTTTTTGCTGTACATGTATATAGACCAGTATCTTTTTCAATAGCACCATAGATTGTTAATTGCCATATATCAGGTTCAATATGTCGTATACGTGTACGATATGAATCAGTTAATAAACGCCAATCTTTATAAAAACGTACTTCAGGATATGGTATACCATCAACTTTACATTCAAGACGAAATGTATCATGTGTACGACAACGCGTATCTTTTAATGGTTCAAGAAACATTGGTGGATCGGCAAGATATAAATAAACTGTATGACGTGCTGTACCATATTTATTTTCAGCAACTATTTCATATGCACCTTCATCAGATGCTAAAGCAGAATCAATTGAAAGATATGCATAACCACGACGATCATTATATAATTTAATACGTCCATCATCTAATGGAATTCTTTCACCCTAGTTGTAAGAAAAAAATAAAATAAAATTTCAAATAGAAAGGAAAAAAAACCAAAACTTACATCATGATACCAAGTTACATCAGGTATTGGATAACCAGCGAGTAACATTGTGATACGAGCATTTTGACCTTCAAGAAAATACTGAATATCAGGACCATCAACTTGTAGTGAAGGCCGAGTACCTAAAAAAAAATATGATAAAATATTTATTAAATTAGGTTTTCTTTTTTTAATTTTTCTTACCACCATATTCATCAAGTACAGAAGTATATGGTCGTTTTGTTTTACTTATTGGTTCTTGTTCAGTTTCTACGTGTGGTTCATCAGCTAAATGATTTTAAGTAAAAAAAAAAAAAAAGAAATAACCTTTTGTTTCTCGCTCTCTATTTCAATAACATACTTCGAGTTAAAAGACGACTTGTTACTGGTTGTGATGGATCACTAACACCAAATGCATTTTCAGCACGAACCCTAATAGCATAAATATGATTTAAATTAAGACCACGTAATTGAACACTTGTATCTAATTATGAAAGAAAAAAAAAAGAAATTTATCAATAATTGAATAAAACAAATAAAGTAATTAACCTGGTAATGAAGAGACATATGTTGCCCATGAATAAGTTTTTGGATCTCGTACTTCAACAATATAAGTACATGGTTGTGTTCGATTATGTGATGGTGAATGATCCCAACTTAAATTCAAACTTGATTTTGAATGAGGTGTTAATAATAATCGTGCTGGTGGTAATGGTATTGCACCTTGTTTACTTGTTGGTGATGCTGATTCTGGTACATCAAAACTTACACGACGTTTCAAACGGCTTGATTCATGATGAGCTAGAAAATACAGAATTAATATATAATTTTGAAAAAGTTCGTAGCGCGATTCCTGTAGGATTAAAACTTGAAACACAATGCAACTGATGTTACTAATCATAAATAGATTGTTTTATTCTATCTATTATGGGATATATTTTTTCGCAATCTTTTTACTTAATCCTCAGAAAATACAATAAGGAAATACTGAGTGACTACATTGTTCGACATGTATCCACAGTACTACCAGCCACAGAATAATTCTGGACAAGTCACTAACGATTATTCGTTTCGTATCATCCGACCAATAGCATGTTGACACCTGCTCTTGTATCTAGTTAGTATGTATAGAGAGCAGAGCCCATCGGATCCGGATCCGGATAGGACCCGATGGGTTCTAATGGAAAGATCAAGTAACTGAGCCCAAGAACTCTGCGTCAGACCAACCTTCTATCCAGAGTTACAGCTAGTCATAGTTGTAGGAAAGATATCGGACTATTGAATATGTCTCTAGGCAGCATCCCATACCACAAAGTAGCTGAAAAACAGAGGTATTCTTCCTTCTTTCTATAGTTATGCCTGTCATGGTCTGTTGAGAGTGAGAATTTCTATCCAATCTACTTCAACATTCCTTTTTTTATAGATCATGTTTCAGAAAACTTACGTTCAACAGTTAATTCTGCTGAACATTGAGTTGAACCGGCACGATTTTCAACAATAATTGTTATTTCACCAGCATCTTCTTGTAAACAATCTTCAATAGTTAATGTTACTTTACCATTTGATTGTAATTGTGAAGAATATTTTCTTATATTAGAATCAACATCTAATGGTACACCATTATGTAACCAACGTATTGTTGGATTTGGTTGACCAGTTATAAAACAATCAAATTTAGCACGTTGTCCTTCAATGACTGTACAATTTCGAAGTTTACGAATAAATGATGGAGCAATTTCTTCAGTTCTATTTTAAAAGAAAAAAATTTGTTTTTATATAACAAAAAAAAAATAATCCATTAAATATTGAACATACGGTTGTGGTCTTGAACCAGCAGGCGTTTCAATAAGATGTAAATTTGCAGAACAAGTTTTTTCTCCAGCTGAATTTTCAGCTTTACATGTATATTCACATTCATCACCTTCATTAACATGTGATATAGCTAATAGATAAACGTCATTATCTTGAGTAACACGATATTTTTCATTATTCTATTATATTAATAATTATATATTAACAAATCAAATAAAACAAAAAAACAAATTCAAATACATACCGTAATCTTTTTATAATTACAATACCAAGTTACTTTCGGTGCTGGTTGACCAGTTATAATTGCACGAAAATTAGCTTCTTGTCCTTCATGTACATAAACATCAGATATTGGTTCAATAAATCTATTAGAAAGAAAGAAAAAAACATAAAATATATATAAAAATTAAAATATTTGATTTTACTTAGGTGGTAAATCTTCAACACTTATTCGTTGTTGATCTGCCGAAGGTTGACGTTGACGAACAGAAAGTGTACATGATGTTGATACTTCACCATATTTATTTCTTAAACGTAATTTATATAAACCAGCATCTTCAAGATAAACTTCTTTCATAATTAATTGTGCTAATTCATTTGGTTTAAAATTAATTGTTGTAAAAACATTTGAACGTAACTTAACATTATCAAAAAACCATATTGCTTCAACATCATCACCTTCAAATTGACATTCAAGATCAAGTGATTCACCTTCTTGTAAAGTTAAATCTTGAAGTCCACGAATAATACGTGGTTTCTTTCGTTCATTTTCAGCTAAATCTAATTTGACACAAACAAAAAAAAACAAATTATTATTTTGTTAAAGAAATAAAAAAGAGAAACTATTAGCACAATTAAACTATTAAATACTGTTGATAATCATAAAGAGATTGTTTTATTCTATTTATTTTAGGACACATTTCTTCATCATATTTTTTACCAAAGGTTAGAGAAATGCAATAATAACTTAGTTCATATATTAGAACGAGATATTATGTATATGCGGTTTTTGATCGTATATCAACAATACCTGTTACGGTCTGTAACGTAGAGCTCCATGGTTCAAAAAAAAACTAGAACCGTTAAGTCATGAGATAGAGAACAAAATTCTAAAACCTTTCTTTTTTTATTTTTGGGATTAAAGATTTCAGTATATATGCATAATATTGCCTTGTTTAAGTACTGAAAGTCTTTAATCTCAACAATTCAATAGTGAAAATTTCTCAAAATAGATCTATAACTTTCGTATATATCTAATGATTTAATGGTTTCACATGATATTTCAAGAACTGAACTGGAACCGCCGAATTCTACTATCACATCTATGATGATTCTTTGCTAAGATGTCTTTGAGGAATCCAAATTTCTGTCTCTATACTTTGACATTGTATTTAGATCATCTTTCAAAAAACAAAACATTATTTCATACCTTCAACGGATACTTGACAACTACTTTCTTGTCCATCAGCATCATCAAGACGAATTGTATATCGTCCAGGTAGAATACCATGTGGAATATAAAGACTATATCTTAAACCTTCATTTCTTATTTGAGTTTTATCACCAACTGGTGCTCCATCTCTTAACCAAGTAACTCGAACATTAGGTTTTGATAATTGACATGATAATTCTAATGGTTGTTCACCATATACAGTCCATGTTTTAGGTAAATATTTAATGAATACAGCTGGTAATGCTAAATAAATTCAAAAATTATTATTATTATTATTATTATTTTTAAATAAATTTTTAAGAAAGAAAAAAAAAAAAATCTTACGTTCAACAGTTAATGTTCCATCTGTATGTTGACTATCAACTACACAACGATAATTTCCTTGATCTTCAATTTGTGCATTATGAATAGTTAATGATAAAAGATCACCTTTTATTGAATAAACAACACGTTCACTTGGTGAAATTCTTACACCATCTTTAAACCATTGAACATTTGAACTTATTTTTGATAAACGACATTGAAAACGAGCTGTATCCTAATTAAATAAATAAATAAATAAAAAACAATATTAATTTTTTAAATGAAATTTTTATTTTCATTACCCCTTCTTGAACATGTATATTTTTTAAATGATCAAGAAATGTTGTTTCTAATTTTTTAACTGTTAATTGACATGATGTTTTTATATGTTCACAACGCATTTCATAGAAACCTTTATCATCATATTCAATATCATCTAATAATAATTTGTAATAACAATCAACTTGTTTAGCACGTATACGTGATTGTGGTGTAAAAAATATTCGTCGATCATTATGGTACCACACAACATCCATATCAGGTTTTGATAATTGACAAACTAATGTTGCGCTTTCATTTTCTTGTACACTAAGATCTTCTAATGGTTCAATTAATTCAACTGGTTTATCTAAATAATAAGAAAAAAAAAAACATTATTTATTTATTTGTTTCTTTTGATTTATTTAAATAGTGTGACAAAAAATTTTGTATCATCTATTAAAATGAAAGAAAAAAAAAAAGAATTTTTTACCAATAACAGTTAATTTGGCTTCAGTGAATGCATCTTGTACAGCACATTTATACCATCCTTTATCTGATAATTTAGCTTTAGGTATACGAAGTGTATGTTTAGTATCAATTGATTGTATATCATATTGTTGTGATGAAAGACGTTTATCACCAAGAAACCATTCAACACGACATGGTTTTGATGTTTCACAAGTGAATTCTACAGATTCACCAAAACTGCAAGTACGATCTTGAAGAGGTTTTGTAAATGTTACAGGAATAGCTAAATATATATTAAGAACAAAAAAAATGAATTATTTAAATTAACAAAATATTTAAATTAAATTTTGAATTTACCTTTAACAATTAATGTAGCACTTGTTTTTGCACCACCATCAGCTACACATTTATATTCTCCACCTTCATTCCAAGCAACTTTACGAATAGTTAATGTATGTACAGGTCCTTTAGCTTGTACTTCAAAATGTTCATCTAAAAATACAAAAACAAAAAAATTTGTAATATGAGAAATAAAAAAACAAACTTGTACCATGTGGAATTGGTTCTCCATCAAGAAACCATTTAACATGTATATTTGGTTTATTTAATTCACAAATAAAATGAACTGTATCATCTTCATTAACTCTTGCACCTGTTAAACTTTTCACAAATTCAATTGGAATTGCTAAAGAAAAATTTAATTTAGTTTTTATTTTAAATTTAGAAAAAATCCTGCAAGCATAATCTCTGTAGGATTAAAATGTGAAACGTAATATAGCTGTTCTTGTTAATCGTAGAATGAGACATTATTAATATACAGTCTTTAATCGAATATCAACAATGTCTTGCACGGTATATGACTAGCATCTGTCATGATCTGTGATGGGTTTCTAGTAGAACCTATCGGATCCGGATCCAACAAATTTTAATTGCTCGGGTCCGGTGTGCAGAAATTGTTGGATCCAATGGGCTCTAGTTCCCAGGATACCTGTGGCGGATCACTAAGGTGTCTGTCAATGTCGATGACGAGTTCCTAGAGTGTCTATGAGTAAAGTGGGTCCAAATTTCTATCCTGTATACTTCAACATTCGTTTCAGATCATGTTTTGCAAAACTTACGTTTAACTTCAAGTGTTGCAGTTGATTCAATTTCATCATCAACTCTAACAGTTACATTTCCAGAATGTGATAATTGTGCTTGTTTTATTTTTAATATATATTTCTTTCGTCCAGGTGATGTTGTTAATTCATATGTTACACCATCACTTTCAATAATTTCTCCATTTAATAACCAAGTAACTTTTGTTGGAATTTTATTTAATTCACATTCAAATTGTACTGGTTGATCTTGTTTAACTGAACGATTTCTTAATTCTTGTACAAATTCAAGTTTAGTTAATTTTAAATCAGCTGTACAACTTGTACGTGCTTCAACAGCATCATACATGTATTTTCCTTGATCATTTTCATCAGCATTATTTATAATTAATTTTGCTTCTTGTTCAGTATCATCATAAGTTATTTGTATACGATCTGATGTTTTAATTGGTTGTCCATTATGTAACCAACGTGAATTATCTGATGGACGTTTATTCATACGAACAGTAAATACAAGACGATCATCTAAATCATATTTAATATCTTTAAGATCTTTATAAAAGACTAATGGTTCTGTTTGTACATAAACACGACATTTTGTTCGAACATTATCACATTCACATTCAAATAATGTTTCATCATCATCTTGTTGTGTTACTTTTGGAAGTTTTAATGAATGAACATATTTATCATCAAGAAAACGATGACGTGCATCACCAGCTTTTGGTATTAATTTACCATTACGATACCATTGAACAGTTTTATTTGGACGTGTTGTTTCAACATCAAGTAAAAGATTTGAACCAACTTTAAGTATTATTTCTGGTGGTAATTCTCGTGCAAAAACTGGTTCAGTTTGAACAGATACTGTACATGATGTATCAATTTCATTATTATAATGAGCAGAATATTTTCCACTATGATCAAGTTCAGCTGATGGAATACGAAGTGTATGTAAATGACCATCAACACGTGAAAGATCAGAACTGAGTATTTGACCATCTCGTTTCCATGTTATTGGTGTATCTGGTATTGATAATTTACATTCAAGAACAATTGGTGAACCAACTTTAATGACTGTATCAAAAAGTTTTTGTGTAAACCAAACACGATCACCTGACTAGAAAAGAAAAATTTATTGTATATTAATATAGTTATGGTTCTTTTTATTTTTAACTTTTAGAAAAGTAGGAAAAAAATTTTCAATAGGTTTGTTTTTTAAATTTTACTATTAATTAGTTCAAAACTCATCATATCATTGTTCTCATTCATTTTTATACATTTAATTTTATTCTTACAGAAAAGAGCAATATTGCCAAGAGACAATGAAAATCATCAAATCTCTCGATGGCTCGCCATCACCCCTCCCTAATCTCTGTTAGATATATTTACTAGAGATCTGCATCCGAGTCATTCTTAGGAATGGTCAGAGCTCTCTAAATTATCTACCAGTAAATTAAAGTTGAACACTATAGATTTATTTTGGATGGTGATTTGTATTCTTTGATATTCCTTTGTACAAATTGCTGTATTTTGTAGATTTGATTCATGTCTCGTTAGGACTTTACAAAGTCAGAATCAAGATTGACTTCGACTTCTCATAGACGTAGATCTTCAAGAGACATCAATCGAATTCCGAAAAAAACACATCAGTTTGTACATCAAATACCAAAGAACAAAACTTATAATTCAAAAAACTTCTTGTATTCAGTTAGATTTATTAGTAAGATATTTAGTTGATAGCGATGCAGGTCTCTAATATCTACATATATGAATATATCCGATAAACTCGAATGAAATAAATTCCCAATAAAAATAAGTGTTCCAGATTCATCATTTTGATAAAGCTACGAATCAGTGTTTGATTCAAACAATGAATCATTTTATGGAATTCTTTTAATAATTTATAATATATTTAAAAGAAAGAAAAATTTTCCTAAATGTTAATTATCTTACTAGATCAATAAATGCATGTCCACGTAAATTTTCAACATGAAGAGTATATTCAGCTTGATCATTAATTGTTGCTTTAGGTATTTTTAATTTTAATTTTGTATCTTCTTGAATAATTTCAATATTATCATTTGGTGTAATTTCTTTTCCATCACGATACCATATTGGTGCTGTTTTAGGTGCACGATTTAATTGACAATCAAGTATAACTTGTTCACCTTCATTAACTTTTAGATCTTCTAATTTTTTAATAAATAATAATGGTAATTCAGATTCTAAAACATCTGTTTTTTGTCGTTGATATGGATCATGAACTAATATTTCTGTTTGATATTCATATTTCGTATCTTTTATAATTGATTTATATATTCCAGCATCATTAAAATCAACTTTTGATATTTTAAATGTAACTGTATATCTTGATTTATCTTTATCAAAATGTTCAGTTGTTTCTAATAATTTATTATTTTTATAAAATTCAATTGTACATTTACGATTTGTAACAATTGAAAGTATTAATTCATCACCTTGATCAAGATCAAGTAATTTAGGTGGATGTTCAAGTACTTTTAATTGATCATCATCTGTTTGTTGAACAATTTGTATTTCACGTTTATCATCTTTTGTTTTAACAACATATGAACCAAAATCATCTTTTTTCAATGAATTTATTGTTAATGTTCTAATAACATCTGTATTTTTAATTGTTAAACCAGTTGATTTTGATGGTATAGAATCAGATGATGCTAATTTAATACCATCATGATACCAAATAACATGACCTTGTGGTAAATTTAATTCACATGTTAATGTTATTGATGAACCTATTTTACCAATTAATTTTTCATCACATTTAACAATAAGAATCTTTGGTTCAGTTAATTGAACAAGTTTTGATTCACTTATATTAGTTGATTCAACTTCAAAACGATATGTACCATCATCTTCAGGTTTAGAATCACGAATTGTCATTATATATCGTACACCTTGATTGTCAGTATCAGGTTCTTGTGTAAATGATATTCTTGGATCACGTTTTGTTGATAAATCTTTACCAGCTTTTAACCATTTAGCATTTGTTTTAACATCACGACTTAATGTTATCGATAATGTAAATTCATTACCAAGTATTGGTTCACTTGGTTGAAGTGTTAATGGTACAAGAACTTTAACTGGTGTTTCAAGAACTTTTAAACGAGCTGATGATTGTGTATCATCAGGAAGTTTAACTGTATAAGTATCAGCATCTTTTAATTCAACTGAAGGTATTGTTAAAGTAAATGTACAATCTATTTGTGAATATTCATATTTAGGTGTTGAAGTTGTTGGAAGAGTAACTTTGCCTAGAAGAATATTTATATTATATTCAATATGAACATTTTATTTTACGAAAATTTTTCTTTAAAAAATTCAATATGTACATATGAATAATAGAAAAAAAAAGACGTAGAATATTTCAGCATGGACTGTAAGCTATTAATATTTTCTTTCTTTTTCTTACTTCTGAGGAATTTTGAAATGAAAAGAAATTAATTAGATCAAAATATTCCAAAAAATCTCTGATATATGTCGAAAATTTTCAAAAATTTGGTTTCTATTTCTATGGTTCGATGGTGATAGTGATTAGAATTTTCAATAACTATTGATGGGAATGGCAACAGCTTACATCTTTATTTAAGAATATAAAAAAAAAAAGGTTTCGAGAAACTATTTCCCTGTCTATACACAAAAAATCTCATTGATTTTGAATTAGAATTGTAAGAAATTCCTATAGTTTGCTCTGAATTTTTTTATAGAAACTCTTGGGTTAAACTCATATTATTTCCTAAGAATCCATTGCGAAGTAAGACATTTTTTTTTAATTTTGTTTAAAAATAAATTTACCTTTAAGCCATTGAATTGGTTTATCTGGTAATCGATTTAATGTAAATGTAGCTTGAACAGTTTCACCTTCATGTGGTGATTCTTTATCCCATTTTAATGGTTTAACAAATTTAATTGGATTTGGTGTTAATCTTAATGTATATGAAGTTTCAACTCCATCACCAATAACTGTATATTTTCCTTTATCATTTGGTTTTGTTTTAGGTAATTTTATTTTAAATGTTGCATCTATATCATTTAATTCTTGTTCAACATCAATTGGTTTTCCATCTTTATAAACTTCAATAGTTTTTGGTTTTCTTGAAAATTGACATGATAATGTAACATCATCACCTTCCATTGGTTTATCTTTATCAGATGTTAAAGGTTTTAATATAGTCAATGGTTTTTCTTTAACTTTCAATTCTGTTGATAATTTTTCATCTGAAAATGGTATATGACATTCTAATAATCCTGAATCTTGTGGACGAATCTTTTTAATTGTTAATATTGAACGTAAACCATCAGTTGATATAGTAAAACGATCATTTGGAATAATTAGTTCACCATTTAAATACCAATCTAATACTTGATCTTTTAATGGTTTATTTAATGTAACTGTACATGTAACAGTATCATCTTCTTTAGGTTGTTTTGGATTTAATTCAATAATTCCTTGAAATTTAACTGGTAATGGTTTAACAATTAATTCATAAGATTGTTTTTGTCCATCGACAGTAATTGTAAAAACTTTTGAATCTTGTTCAATATTTAAATTTTTTATTTTTAATGATAACTCTTGTTGATCATAACGTTTTTTATCAACAATAGGTGACCATTGAATTTGTTTTGGTGGAAGTGTTGTTTCACATATTAATGTTATTGTTTGACCTTCAATTGGTTCACCTTGACAACGTATTGGACTAAGTTCTTGTAAAATATTTAAATCAATTGATGATTCAAGATCAGAATCAAGTACAATACGATATTGTCCTAAATCATCAGTTTCCAATTTTGATAAAACTAAATCATGTTGAGTAGCATTTTCTGTACTTGAAATATTTGCACGACGTGTTGAAACTTTTCGTTCACCTTTATACCATTCAACATTTTTAACTGGTAATGATGTTTTACATCTTAATGTTACTTTTTCATTTAATTTTAATTCAGTTTGATTTTCATCAAGTATAATATGTAATGGTTGAACAATTTCATTTTTATCTTTTTGTGTTGGTTTTCTTAATATATTAACTTGTGTTGAACATTGTTTACCATTTGGTAATTTAATTGTATATTTTCCTGTATCATTTTCAATATTTGCTTTTGGTATATCTAATGTTATTGAAAAATCTTTATTAATTGAAGTTGGTATTGTTGATGGAATAGGTTTACCATTACGTAACCATACAATATCATTAGGTGAATCAGGTTGACGATTTAATTTAGCTTCAAGATGAATTGGTTCATTTTCATCAATTTCAATTTTATCTTTTAATGGTATTGAAAAATCTAAATCTATTTTTTCTTTTGGTTCAATATTGACTTGTAATGAACTTTTAAGATCTGGTCCAAGTGGAATTTCATATAAACCAGAATCATTTGGTGTAACATTTTCTAATAAAAATCGATATGTTCCATTATTAAAATTTTCAACAGGAATTTTTCTTGTTGGTTTTAAACTATTTTTAAGAAGAACTATATCAGTTGGTAATGGTTTATTTAATTGAATTTCAAGAATAAGATTATCTGGTTGTTCATCATCAGGAACAATATGTAAATCTTTAAGAATTCTAATTTCTTCTGGTTTAACTTTAACTTGACATGATGTTTGAATTTTATGTGTTGGAATTTCTACTGTATATGAACCTTGTTCATTTAATTGAATTTGTTTTATTGTTAGAAAATGTGATTTACCATCTTGTTCAATTTGTATACGATCATTATCTGCTTTAATTGGTTTATTATCTAATTTCCATATAACTGGTATTTGTTTTAACTCATGTGATACAACAAATTTAAGTACAAGATCATCATTTTCAGTTAATGATACATCTTTTAATGGTTCAGTTAATTTTACTGTTATAGATTTAACTGTTAATGGTGCTGAACATTTCTTTGATACAGGTTGATCAATAACACATGTATATGTTGCAGCATCTTTTATTTCAAGTGTTTTTAATGTTAATAAATGTATATGAGGATTTTCAGAATCAATTGATGATTGTATACGATCATTCATTGTTAATGGTTTATTATCTTTTAACCATTTTACTTTCATATTGGGTTTATTTAATTCACAGTCAAATGAAACTGTATCACCAGTTATTGCATCAATAGGTTCTAAAAAAAAATATATAGTATTTACAAAGTTATATTTTATTATTAATAATATCTAAGAGTATAGATTAAATTCATTCTTTATGATTATCATTAAGATTAGATGCATTTTTCTTATATGTAGCAAACAGTAGACTTTGTATATTGCTTTCTTTCTGTTCTATGAGTTTGTCTACATTCAATATGAAGTTTTTGTTTGTACTAGAGTTCTGTGGAACGAAATTTTTCTATTCAAAAGTCTGTTTATCTAGTGTCGAATTTTTTATTTTGCTTTTTGAATTATTGTATAAAATCTTGTTAATCGAAAGAAATACAAAGATATCGTTTTTGTTTTGGATATATTATTGACAATATAAAATTGAATGGCGAACATATCTTCTCGAAGCAGATAAAAATAATATTTTTTTAATTTATGAAATAGAATGTTCGAAAATTAAAGGAAATTTGACATGCTTGTAGCCGAAATATGTAAACAAAAAAAGAACGGAAATAATTAAAGTAATAACAACGGGCTATGTACATTCTCATACTGACGGATATATATATATATATATAATATAATAAATAAATGAGGCAATATCCCTAAAGTGTAGTAACAGTAAAATAACTGATGAAAAGAATGATAATGAATAGCTTTCAGGGTATTTCGCAATATTTTTTCTTCTGCACTTTTCCTTTGTGTTATTTTATTCAAATATTAAAATATTTATTAGAAATAAAAATTTAATGTTTACAACGCATCAAGAAAGTTTGAGATACTGATGTCGTTTCTCAAAATGTCCTTATATGATTAATTTATGTTAATTCACTTTGAACGGATCGTATAGATTTCAACAATATAAATATCGTTGTGACAAAATATTTTCGTATTGTTTTAAACTATTATTCAATAAACAAAATACTTTAGAAAATAAAATTTCTAATATTTTAAATGAATTTAAAGGTGCCCGTCCCCTTTGCGGAGTTTTTGGACAATGGCTCATCAGAAAACCTTTTAAATTGTCAGGGCAAGTAGATCTCGACAATTGGAACAAAAGTTGTAATAGACTCAAAGTTCCTGGATGCCGTCTTCTATGAGATACTGGGATCATAATGACGTACCTGGTTCTCCGTGATACCACGTTCAATCGAGCTGAAAATCTTTTTACGAACACTAGACACTGTTTGAGATGGATATCTTTTTATTATTATTTTTGTAAGAACTATCAAAAAACAGCGCGGCAATAAAAAAAAAGGACACTACTCATCCCAAACAGTGTATAGAATATGTGAAAAAATTTCCAGCTTAATCGGAATTACTAGATCGGAGGAGCAGAGGCGTTTCTATACTTTATTATTTTTTTCATGAAAAATTTAGTTTGAGAAAAATGCGAGACACCACTGTACAGTTTTTGTTAATTTGATTTGTTCTTGCTTTTTTTTTAACATTTAAAGACAATATTTGAATCGAAAAATATTATCAACATACCAATTTTATGAACAAAATCGGCTGGTATTTCTTTAACTTTTAATGTAGCTGTTGTTGTTTTTCCATTTGATTTAATTTGACATGTATATGAACCTTGATCATTAATTGAAACATTAGTTATAATTAATACATGAATTTTTCCATTATTTTCAAATTTATAATGTTCATTTGCTTCAATTAATTTACTATCTTTAAACCATTCAACAGGTAGATTATCTCGATTTGTTTCACATTTAAATTCAATTGTTTGAAATTCTTCTGTTTCAATATTTTGTAATTTTTTTGTAAAATCAGCTGGTGGTGTACCAGCTTCTTCAATTGTAACTTGACATGAACTAGCATCATCGGGTGTACGAATTTCATATTGTCCAGCATCTTGTTTAGCATTTACTTTTTGTACAACTAATGTATGACGTCGTCCTTTTGACATGATTGTTATATGTGGTGCATCACCACCAGCTGGTATTTCTTTTCCATTAACAAACCAAGTTACTGGTGCATGTTCATTATCAACACGTGCTTCAAGAGATAAATTTTGATTTTCTTGTAAAGTAACATCTTTTAATGGTTGAGTTATTTTACTTGGTAATGGTTTAACAGTAACTTTACATGTTGATCGTAATGTATCATTTGGACCTAAGAATTCATAAGTACCACTATCACCTACAGGTAAAACATTATCGATGATAAGTGTATAATGTGTACCATCTGTAGTAATACGTGTTCGTTTATCTTTTCGTATCGGAGTACTTATATCATCTTTAATAAAACGACAACCAGGAATATTTGGATGTGATAATTCAACATCAAGTTTTAATTGTTCACCTGAAAACAAAAAATTTTTAATTTAAAACGAAATATTTTTGTTAAGATTTGAAGATAAAAATAAAAATTTAATCTTTTTCTTTTCTAATAGAAGTAATTTTCTCAATTTATTTAAGTGACAATCTTTTGCTATAGAACTTCTCATTGCATCATTATAATGACGGATTAAGAATGTTTTTCTTCTTCTACTTCTTCTGTTTTCTGTAATACTTTCATGACAAATTAATTGGTATGACTTAATCATTATCTTCTGACAGAAATGCTCATTAGATTTTCTATTTCCTTTTATGAATAGATCGTTGATTACTATAATGGAAGTGCATCCTTTCATGAAGTATAGATGCGTAGTTTTTCTTTGTAGTTTTTTTTCTTCTTAAAAAAAAAAAAACTTTTTCTGTCAAAGTTCTTTTTTTTTTGTTTTTTATTCATTAGTTTTTATGATCTCATTGTACGCGATGATAAAATGATGAATACAACAACATCAACTAATATTACTCATATTTCTTCATTTCATTTCGAATATTATATAATCACATGGATTAGTACATTAATTGGTACAATATTTTCATTCTTATGTTTACTACGTTATTTTCGTTATAATTATCAACGAACACAGTTAACATATGTCTATTATTTTTCAATTGGATTCTCTTTAGTTTTATCTCTAATAAGTACACCATTATATACGTTAACGGACTATTTTTCATCGATACTACCAATAATGTCTGAGCATCGATTTCGTTTATTATATAATTTTAATTTAATAGCTTTTTTTGTTGCATCAGCTGGTATTGGTTACTCAATAGCATATGCAAGTATAGAACGAACATTTTTTATATTTTATTCTCAAAATATACGACTAGCATGGATAAGACAATTTACACCATTTTTAATTATATTTTCTTCATGTTGTGTAATAATAACTTTATTTATTCTTTTATCAAAATGCCATTTAGATGTTTCATTATGTTTATTAGGTTATTTCGAATCATTAAAACTTCAATTAATATGGTTTTTTTTACAATTTTTAATTCCATTTATATTTATGTTAATATCTATTTTATTTCTTATTTATCATATTGAAATTCATACAAATCGTATACGAATGTCATTAAATCGAAAGCGTTCAAAAAATAAATTTCAACGTATTCTTATTCATTTAAATATATATAATACATTTTATATATTATCAATATGTCCAATTAATATATATTCATTTATACGAATATATATGAATACAAAACATCGATTAATTGAAACAATTTTAATTAATTATCTATTTATAACACTTCATTGTTATCCTATATTAATATTTCTACTTACACAAGTTAAACAACAACAACAACAACAACAACAATATCGAGTTAAATTTTATCAAGAACAAAAACAATCTCCTTATATTATAATAACTCATCCTTCAATTGAATTAGATGAATATCAGCGAACTCGATTATAGAAAGAAAAAAAAATGTATATTTAAATTTTACCTTGAGGTACAATTAATGTTTCTGGTAAACCTTTTATAATACGAATAGGAGCTTTAGCAACATCAACATCACTATTTGTTGTTTCACCACTTTGACGATCTTTACATGTATATTTTCCAGTATCATTTAATTCGGCTTTATGAACTATTTAAGAAAAAAATTAAAAAAAAATAAATTAAAATAAATGATTGTTGTTTTTTAAAAGAACATCAACCTTTTAATTGTCTTATTGGACCATTATTAATAATTTCAAAACGAGGAGTATGCTCGTCAATAAGATCATCATCTAAATACCAATCAGTTATTTGTTTAGGATTATTAACTTCACATTCAAGAATAAAATCAGTATCTTCATTAACATTTAATTTATTAGGAAGTAATTTACGAAAACCGCCTTTTATTGGTTCTTCTGGTTGAAGTTTTTGTGATGGTGCTTGAACTTTTTCTTCATGTGGTTCAACAATAACTTCAGCTGTTGATGATTTAGTATTATCAACAGTTATTGTATATTCACCATTATCATTTTCATCACAATCATTTATCATAAGACCTATTTTAAAATAAAAATAAAAGTTTTATAGAAAATAGTTATGGTTCATAAATATGAAAGAGAATAAAGTTGCATACGAATATCTCACAGACACTTATTGATCTTTAATAGGAAAGAAATGAATTCTGAAAATTCTCTATCATATCTAACTATTAACATTATGTAAATTCACTAGTATAGTTTTACAGAATTTTTTGTTTTTCTTGTTAGTGAAGAAAAAAAAATATCGTAATAATAAGAATTAATTTTCTATTACCTTGTAATTTTCCATTATTCATAATTTCATATTTATCACTATCTTCAATAATTTGTCCACGTTTATCTTTCCAAACAACATTTTGTGGTCGTTTAGAAAGTTCACATTCAAGTAGAGCACTTTTCATATATTCAACATGTACAGGTGTTGCTAAATGTTGTAGAAAATCGACTCCAGCTGGTTCAATTGTACATTGTGAACTTGTTTCAACATTTGTTGGTAAAACACATCGATATACACCTGAATCAGCTGTAACTGGTTGTAATATACGTAATTTATGTAATGTATTATTTTTTAATGATTCAATTTGATAATGTTTTTTCAATTCATTTGGTGATAATTTTTGTTGATCATGAAACCATTGAACAGTTGTCGATCTTGATGTTTCACATTCAAAAACAAGTTCTTTTTCTTTACCTTCAACTGTATTTATATTTGATGGTGTTAATTCTTTTGTAAAACGAAGTTCATCAAGAACTAAAAAAACAAGAATAGAATTTTTTTCTACGATTAAAAGAAAAATTTACCTTTAATTGTTAATTCAACGGTTCGTTCATCATCATCACTTTTAGCTGAATAAATTCCTGAATCAGCAATAACAGTTGATTTTATAATTAATTGTCGTTGTAAATTTTTAACAATAATTTTATGATTTTGATCTTCTTTTATTTCTTTATTATTTAAAAACCATTTAATTTTACCTTTTTCTTGATTAATTGTTGTTGTTAAAATTAATTCTATTTTTTCTGGAATATTATTTATATCAGATGTTGATACTTGAATATCAGATGTAAATAAAACAGGTAATGGTTTAACATTAATTGTAACTGATTGACTTCGAAGACCATCTTTATTCGTTACAGTTGAATCTTTAACAATTGTTTCATATTTTCCTTTATCATCTGGTTGTGCAGCATCAAAACGAATTCGTACAGATGTTGAATTATTTTCATAGATTATTTGAGTATGTTTATCAATTGGTACACGTTTATTATCACGATTAAGAACAACATTTTTCACTGGTTTATTATAACGAATAAATAATTCAAATGGTAAATTTTCACTAACAGTATTAGTATCATCTTTGGCATCAACAAGATGAAGTTGTTCAATAATTGCTAATGGTTTATCATGAACTTTTAATCGTGTACTGGTATCTTTTGTTTTATCGACAGTTACTTTATAAACACCTAAAGTAGACACATGTAATTTATACAATACAATCTCAATGAGCAAAAAGAGACTTTCGATAGTTAGAAATGTTGGGATAGACATTATTCATTGAATTATTTATTCAGAAGAGATAAGCATAGGAAGACTTTTTCTGTACTATTCTGCCGCCGTGGTGGTGGCATCGCGACAGGAACAGATTTCTTTTAAAAAAACCATCGCGGCACGGAAGGAATTTTTATCATGCCATAGTGGCAGCTTTTTTTAGGAAGAAATTTAAAAAATATATGAATTTGTGCAGAATCCCGGTGTTCATATATATGATAGTGTAAGACTTAGCAAATCTGATCGATTAGTAACAGCAGTTCTAGTTCAAACCGGTCACAGTCTTGAAAGTCAAAACATTTTTTTGAATACCATCGTGACAGCGGCAGATTCTCAGTCGTGATGGACATCTATGATGTCGATGACTCAGAAGACCTACTGGAAGATTTTTGCTTAAGCTGACTAGGTTTTGGGAGGGAAGAAAGGCTGGCAGTACTACTCATCACCGATATTCTCTCTTTCTTCTTGTTGTGTGTACATTTATTCATGTCTGTGATTTCTTTGTTTTCTTGTTAGTTACAATATTATAAATTTATCCTTGTTACTAATATTTATCGCGTTAACTCTTTTTTTTTCATCATACATATTTTTACTTCATTATTGACCTTCTGCTTGACTGCTAGTTTCAATCAACCATGTCACATTATAGTGCCACCTGCGATCGCATTCTGTTGCATGTCTGAAGGGTTGAGCGTGTCTATTTTGGGAAACAGTGGGAAGCAAAACACGAAAATTTTTCAAGATTGGATAGAGTTACTTCTGCAGTTCACGATAATTTGGATTTAGATTAAAATGAATTTAATCAAAATAAAGACTATGATTTTTGCATGTTATTCAATATTATATCTAACATTCTTAATCACAAGGTTAATAAGCAAATTATTGAAGCATGCTATTTGATATAATGATTGCTTCAATTGTCTAGTGACGAAGTACAATATCTTTTCTATCTCAAATGCTTCAAAATAAAGATCAACATACATATATAATTAATTAAATGATTTGTACAAACAAAAAATATATATATATCTAAAATCTGTCTAAATTAATTTCTTAATTATAATGAAATATATTTGTTTAATAGAAATAATATGAATAGAAGTAAATATGAAATCTTACCAGCATCATCAGATTTGACATTATTTAAATGAATTTTTAATGTTGGACCATCTCGTTCAATTCTAACACGTTGATTATCAGCTGCTGATAATGGTTTATTATTTTTAAGTAATGTAACTGGTATATTTTCATCATCAATTGGACGATTTAAAACACATTGCATAATAACATTTGAATCTTCTTCAATATCATCTGATGGAATACATTTAAGTTGTTCAATAAATTCAAATGATGGTAAAGCAACATTCAAATTAACATTTTCTTTAAGTTCACCATCATTAAAATTAATTGAATATACTCCTGAATCATCTAATTTTAAATCTGATAATTTCAAACGATATTTTGTTTGATCTTTTATTGGTGATGGTTGATTTTCTAATGGAATACCATCTTTTAACCATACAAATGGAATATTTGGACGATTTAATTCAATTTGAAGTTCAACATTACCACCAACAATTGGTGTACCAAGAACTTTTAATGGTACAATAGTTTTAAGTGGAATTGATTTAATATTGATGTCACATTGAGTAATAATTTCATCATTTATTTGTAAAGCATATGTTCCACTTTGATCTAATTTAACATTTTCAATAGATAATTTAAATTGTTGTCCATCACGTGATGGTATTGAACGAATACGTTTATTATCAATTGATATTGGTTGATTATCTTTTAACCAAACAATTGTTGGATTATCAGGAACATTTTTTAATTTTGTTGAAAGAACAAGTGTATCTTCTTCAACAACATTTTCTTTATCAGGTTGTAATGGTTGAATAACTTCAATTGGTTTTGGTCGAATTTTAACATTAACTGTTTGTGATTGAAGTTCTTGTAGGTGAAGAATTTTTAATTGATAATTACCTTGATCAACAGTTAATTTAACATTTGATAATGTTAAAACTATTTTAGGACTTGTTGTACTAATATCAATCTTTAAACGTCTTATTTGTTCATTTGATAATGATTTTCCATTGAGCGTGAATAAAAGATCTTTACTATCACCTGTTGGTAATGGACGAGATAATTCACATTGAAATATTATTGTTTCATCAACAATTGGTTCAGAATTTGATACAGTTAAATCTTGAATGAATGTAAGCGGTTTGATAATTGTTACTTTAACTTTTGGTGAAGTAAGTTTATCATTAATTGTAACTGTATAATCACCTTCATCAATTTCTTGTTTAACATGTGTAATTTGTATTTGCCATTTATTACCTGTTTGAGTTATTTTTATACGATCATCTTCATTTTCATCTAATGGTTTATCATTAAGAGAAAATTTCACATTTTTATAAGTTGGCTTATCTAATTCACATTCAAGTATTAATGTTTCATCTTCATTTAATGGATTTTTTAATGCACGAAGTGGTTTAAGAAATTTAATTTCTTCTGGTTTAATTGTTATTTTAACTGTTGAACTTTTTAATGGTTTTTTCTCATCAGGACTAGATATTATTAAATAATAATCACCAGACATTGTTGTTTCAACATTTGAAATTTGTAAATTAATTTGTTCAGTTGGATATTCTTGTTCAATAGGAATTTCTATTTCACTACGATACCATTGAATTGTTTCATCCGGTTTTAATGGTCGACTTAATTGACAAGATAATTCTAATGTTTCATTTTCATTTAACGTTGTTTTCTTTGCTGTAAGATCTTTAACAAATGTTAATGGTTTTTCTTCAACAACAACAGGAATTCTATCACTTTCAACATCTTTTACTCGAACGGAATAAGTACCAGTATGATCAGATGGTTGTGCATCTTTTATTGTCATTTTTAATTTTGGACCATCAACAAAGAATTGAATATGTGCATCTTCTTCAATTGGTTCATTGTCTTTAAGCCAAACAATTTGATCGAAAGGTTTGTTTAATGTACATTCAAAATTCAATGTTTCTCCAATATCAAATTTCTTTTTATTAATAGTTAAATTTTTAACAAATTTTGGAATATCAGCATTAACTTTGATTGATACTGGTTTACTTTCAACTTCATCATTAACTTTAACTGTAAAATCACCTGATTCGTTCAGTTGAATATTATCCAATGTAAATTTTATCTTTTTATCTTTAATTTCAGGTTTTATTCGATCATCAGGAACTTTTTCTCCATTTAATATAAGTTCAACTTTAGATGGTGCCATATCAAGTTCACAATCCAGAACAAGTTGTTCACCTTCGGTTAACGGTGTCTTATTTGCTTTAAGATCTTTGACGAATTTTGGTAATTTCTTAGTGACGGTAACAGGAACTTTATCACTTTCAACATTCTTAACTTGAACTGAATAAGTACCAGTGTGATCACTGGGCTGTGCATCTTTGATAGTTAGTTTAAGTTTAGGTCCATCAGCAGAAAATGAAATATGTTCATCTTCTTCAATTGGTTGACCATCTTTGAACCAAACAACTTCAGTGAATGGTTTGTTGAGAGTACATTCGAAGTTAAGTGTTTCTCCAAGATCGAATTGTTTCTTGTTGATAGTAAGATTCTTCACAAATTTGGGAATATCAGCATTAACTTTTATTGCAACAGGTTTGCTTTCAACTTCATCATTGACTTTCACGGTATAGTCACCAGATTCATCTAGTTTCATGTTATCCAATGTGAATTTAATTTTTTTGTCTTTAACTTCTTTCTTGACACGATCTTCAGGTACTTTTTCTCCATTTAAAATAAGTTCAACACTAGACGGTGCCATATCAAGCTCACACTCAAGAACAAGTTGTTCACCTTCAGTTAACGGTGACTTGTTTGCTTTAAGATCTTTAACAAATTTCGGTACTTTCTTAGTAACAGT